TATATATATATATATATATATATATATATATATATATATATATATATATATATATATATATATATATATATATATATATATATATATATATATATATATATATATATATATATATATATATATATATATATATATATATATATATATATATATGACGAAGCTTGGTATAGCGGCAAGTCAATAAAATTAACCGAGACTAACTCGGGTCGTTTCACAAGGATTGGGAAAAGGAAGTATTTGTTAAATATCTTAATATTTTACTTCAAACAATTGATTTAGAGCAATCAAGTTCAAAGCAATAGCAGTAATATGATTAATCCAAACAATAATTTAGAAACAGGTATGAATCGAACAAGTATATGGGCTAAGATAATAATTTTAGATTAAATTAACTTCTTAATTAATTTGATTTTATATCATTAACTTATCGATTTTTCAGGCCTCATTAATGTGTCTAAATATGGTTGGCTAGATTATTTTTCTTAACTCATACACAAGCTAGATAAATAATCTCCAAAGATTAATTAATAAATTGGCAGATCTATTAATTAGTGAATCTCATTTTAGACAATTGAATCAAATTAATCAAGTTACTAACTTAATTTTAACTATTAATCATTAGCCCATACCTTTAATTCAATTCATACCTAAGTATAAATTTAGCCATTAAAAGCCATTAGTTCACAAATCAAACTAAGTATAAAAGATAATTTTAATAAAAGAAAAGTTTACAAGAAAGCTTACAGATCTTGAAGAACTGAATACAAAGCTCAGAAATCTTCAAATCAACACTCTAAGCTTTTCTAGAAGGACTCTCAAACTCAAATAAGGTGAAAAGTGGAATTTTTGGAGTGATAGGAAAGGGAATGGTAGAGTAGGGTATTTATACCCGAGCAGACCGCACAGGCGGGCAGACAGGCGGCCGCCTGTCAGCCCGCCACCGCCAAGAATGGAAGCTTCTGGAACGCCGATACGTCGAGAACTAAGACAGGCGGGCACGCAGGCGGGCGCCTGCTATCCCGCCGGAGCCCATTTTCCCCGCCTCCGCGTGTGTTCGCCACCGGAGCCAACTCTCGCCGTTTGCTGATGCTTGGCAGGCGGTCTGGTAGGCGGCCGCCTGCCTGGTCGCCTGTCGACACTCGGCTTCTTATCACTTGTTTTGCTTCAATTTTGAGTCTGAACACTTTTCTCTCTTTCTCCAACTTCCAATTCCATTCCAGAATGAAAATATTACTAATTTCTTGTTGAAATCAAACAATTTTTATTTTTCTTGGCCCATTCAATTTTACTACTCAAAAATATAGATATATGACTTTTAATCGAAAAATTATTTCTTATTAAGATGAAAAATTATAAAAAATATGTTAAATGCGAGGATAAAATTATATATAAAACGACTTTATCAATCTCCTCACACTTAAACTTTGCTTGCCCTCAAGCAAAACAACTCAAGTAAGAAAAGGAATGACATGATTCGCTGTCAAACTCGTAACTCTTGGGGACAATACCAAGTTAATAATCATATATCTTTCTCTTACTTTTACCAATTCCTTGACTTATTTTCTTTCTATTTAAAAAACTAACTTGTTTCTTAACTTTTTAGGAGATGCACAAGATTTCATTCTCTAACCAATTCCCAAAGGATTAAAAACTTAGTAGCTTTTGGACTTAGAGAATTACCACCTCTGTCATGACTTAGGTAAATCCGTGAGTATCCCATAAATGTCCTTATGATATTATTATTTATGATTTCCTTTGGACAGAGCTCCGTGGGAGATGGAATACTCACTTATAATGCAAATAGACTATCGAGATTGTGGGTTTATCTCATTTTATTTGCATACTTGCTCCCTCACCTTATGTGATTCACGGGAGAAGCAGAGCTCCTTTGCGGAGATAGGATTCCCAATTCGTCACTTAAGCGCAATCTCAATAGCCATCAAAACTTTTTTTTTAATGACGGAGGAGAAATTCCAAAAATCCAAACTACTAGTTATTAATCCCTAACTTTCTCAACCATTAAACCCACTTGTGCATCACTTAAAGAATAAGAAACAAGTTAATTAGTTTAAATAAAAGAAAAATAGCAAGGAAGAGAAAGAGTAAGAAAAAAAATATGACTACAACTTAGTGTGTGTATCAAAAATTACGAGAGTGAGACAACAAATCATACCTGATACTCGAACTCTACCTCCTCACACTTAAATCGAACTACCTCCTCGTAGTCGAGATGCAAGAGGTGAGTGAAGAACAGGGGTGACATTCCTCCTCACACTTGAAATAAACAATAAAGTGCAAGCATTAACCATAAAAGTTTGCAAAAATAAGAGTAGCAACATAAACGAGCCAAGTCAAAATAAAATATGTTTAAAATCAACAGAAATTAAAATATCTTCACTACTGGTGGCTGGCTCTAGATGAAGGAGCTGGAGGCGCAGACTTCTTACCGAGCAGCATCTCAAGCTCATGGAGCTTCTCAGTGTGAGACTCTAGGCGTTCATTCATCCTCTTCATTTGCTTCTCATGGGCGCTATGGTCAGTCTCCATGATGTCCTTCACGTCTTGTATGCTAGTCTCGATAGCGCCATCCTCGTGTTCATTTTCATCATCTCCTCCAGGATCTTCTGGAGCATGGATGCCTCAACACCACTCGACGAAGCTGTGTACGTCCCAGGCTGAACAAAAGAAGAAGATCCCCCAGCCACGAAAGTCCCCGTTGTGGCATCTGGAGTGGGAGAATGGACTGTGGTATCAAGCCCATCAAAGAAATCCAGGGGTGGCTCATCACTCTCCTCTACTCGACGCCTCTTCGCGATCCCCATCTTCGTGAGAGATGTGGTGCTCAGAGGGCGAATGCTCTGGTCAATGGGAAGCAAATTACCCGGCATCTCGGGTAGAAGGGAACGTGCAAGGCGAGTAACAAAGGGTCCTGCCTGAAGAGTCTTCCTATGGCTCTTCCCTTGAAGTAGGAAGAACTGAGCCATGAAGATAGCCAGGTTGACCTGAACCCTTTCTGCCAAACTCCAAAAGAAGTATATGTCCTTCATGCCAATCCGATTTGAGTTAGTCGGACGACCGAAGAGACCATGTGAAAGCACAAAACTGAGTATCCTCCAGGCGCTGCTCCTCCACTGACAAGTATGCGCTGTGTTCTTGTTGAACGGCGTCGTCGACAGGAAATGCTGTCGCCAGAACTGCTCAAGACTGAACTCTGAAGGTAAGGAATACGGAAGAGCAGCAAAGACAAGGGAGCGTGCCTCCTCCTCAGTGTATATCCCCAAATGACGCCCAAACTCGGCCATGGAAAGGGTGAAGGCTCGACCACTAAGTGAAAACGTCAGGGTGGAATCGGGTCTGACATCAGCTGCATCCTTAATAGGCCGGCCACCATGCAGACACTGGTAGGTGCAAAGAAACTCGATCGTCAGCTCCAAACTGGACTGCTCTGCAAAGGTGAGCAAGTAGCGCCAACGAGAGTCTGCGAGTAGTCCATCAATCTCCTCGCAATGGTTCCACTCCTCTAAGGTCACCTGATCAAGAGAGAGTGGCCCTAGAAGAGTTCTCTTCCTTCCCCATGTGCGAAAACGCTTACGGGGCTCTCCTGGTGGCAGGTGCATCTCGAATGCAGCTGGCAGCGTGACATTTAAAACCTCCTCCTCATAATCCTCCTCAACCATCTGTAACCAAAACAAAAAACAAGCAATACAAATAAAGTGAAGAATAAAAATTAAACAGTAATGTGAATAGTAAAGCATTGACGGGTTGCCTCCCGTTTAGCGCTAGATTTAATGTCACTAGCTCGACGAAGTTAGCATGATCATCCAAGTTCTCGGAAGTGAAAAACTTCCGTATCCCTTTGAAAGGTTCCTCCATGGTAAATTTTTAACTGATGACCGTTAACCTTGATTCGTCCTCGATGAGGATCATCAATCTCAACAGTACCATAAGGAAAAACCTGAGTGACCGTGAAAGGACCTGTCCATCTAGACTTAAGCTTTCCTGGGAAGAGTTTAAGCCTAGAATTATACAACAACACCTTATATCCTACATTAAATTCACGATTTGCTTTAATAAACTTATCGTGATAAATCTTCGTACGCTACTTAAGATAGGCATTGTTCCTAAAAGCTAAAGTCCGCCATTCGTCTAACTCATTTAATTGGTAGAAACGCTCCTTCCCAGTAGTAGAAGGATCGAGACACACATTCGTTAGGTCCCAGAGCGCTCTATGCTCAATTTGGACTGGAAGATGGCAGGACTTTCCAAAGACTAAGTGAAAGGGAGTAGTTCCTATTGGAGTCTAATAAGCAGTCCGAAAAGCCCATAGCGCATCATCTAACTTATCGGACCAATCCTTCCCAGAATGCGCTACAGTCTTCTCTAGTATAGCTTTAAGATCTCTATTAGTATTCTCAACTTGCCCTTGGGTTTGGGGATGATATGCTACTCCACATCTATGTTGGACCCCATATTTTAATAACAGCTTAGCCATTGGGTCACTTCGAAAATGGGTTCCTCTATCACTAATCAAAATCTTTGGAACACCGAATCTAGTGAATAACTTCTTGAGGAACCTAACTACAGTCCTTGTGTCATTGGCCGGGCAGGCTTGAGCCTCAACCCATTTTGACACATAATCAATTGCCACAAGAATATACTTATTCCCTCGAGAACTTGGGAATGGCCCCATGAAATCAATGCCCCAAACATCAAAAACCTCACATGGCAATATATATTGTTGGGGCATCTCATCTCTCTTAGAAATATTCCCAACTCTCTGACATTGATCACAACACTTAACAAAACTGTGAGCATCTTTGAAAATCGTGGGCCAATAAAATCCACAGTCTAACACTCGACGGACAGTCCGATTACCAGAGAAATGACCTCCAGTGGGCCCGGAGTGGCAATGCGATAGGATATCGAGGGCTTTAGACTCATTGACACAACGACGCACTACTTCATCAGAGCATATTCGAAATAGATAAGGATCATCCCAAAAGTAGTGCTTAACTTCTGAGAGAAACTTTTTCTTCATGTGATTAGAAAAATCAATTGGTATAACTTTCCCAACAAGATAGTTAGCAATGTCAGCATACCACGGGGTCTGAGTTATGGATAAAAGTCTCTCTTCAGGAAACAATTCTTCAATCTCATTATTACTAAATTGGTCTACTAATCCCGCATCCAACCTAGAAAGGTGGTCGGCTGTCTGATTAGTAGAACTCTGCCTATCTACAATTTCCTAATCAAACTCTTGCAATAATAAAACCCAACGTAGAAGTCTAGATTTAGATACCTGTTTCTTCAACAAATATCTAATCACTGAATGGTCAGTATAGATAATTATTTTAGAAAGCAAGATATAAGACCTAAACTTCTCTAAAGCAAAAACAATAGCAAGAAATTCTTTTTCAGTAGTAGTATAATTAAGCTGTGGTCCTGCCAAAGTTTTGCTAGCATAGTAAATGGGCCTGAAGTGATTATCCTTTCGTTGTCCTAAAATGGCCCCAATTACTAAGTCACTAGCATCGCACATTATCTCAAAAGGTGCCGCCCAATCTGGGGCGGTAAGGACCGGTGCTTCTACTAACTTCTTCTTTAAAGTATCAAAAGCAACCTTACACTTGGTGGAGAAAACAAATTCAGCCTCTTTTTCTAGCAATCGGGTTAAGGGTTTGGCAATTTTAGAGAAATCCCTTATAAATCTTCTGTAGAATCCTGCATGCCCCAAAAAACTACGAATATCCTTAACAGAAGACGAATAAGGTAGCTTCTCAATTGCCTCAACTTTAGCCCGATCTACTTCAATTCCCCTTTTTGACACTTTATGGCTAAGGACAATTCCCTCCTTCACCATAAAATGACACTTCTCCCAGCTTAGGGCTAAATTTGTTTCTTCACATCTTTTCAAAACTTTCTCAAGATTATGGAGGCATTCATCGAAGGTTTCTCCATAAATGGAAAAATCATCCATGAATACTTCCATGAACTTTCCAATAAACTTCTCAAATATGGCTAACATGCACCTCATGAACGTAGCTGGGGCATTGCAGAGACCAAACGACATTCGCCGGTAGGCAAATGTTCCTATTGGACAAGTAAAAGTGGTCTTTTCTTGGTCGTCAGGGTCAACGAGTATTTGAAAATACCCACTCATCCTGTCGAGAAAACAATAATACCCATGCCCAGCTAAGTTCTCCACTAACTGGTCTAAAAAGGGAAGAGGGAAATGATCTTTTCGGGTGGCATCATTTAATTTTCGATACTCAACCACCATACGCCACCCGGTCACCACCTTGTTAGGGATTAGCTCTCCATTATCATTAGCAGTGACAGTCATCCCTCCCTTTTTAGGTACCACATGAATCGGACTTACCCAGTTACTATCAGAGATGGCATAAATAATACCTGCATCTAAAAGCTTCATGATCTCTTTCTTTACGACCTTCCTAAGATTGGGATTCAACCTTCGTGGTTGTTGCGCCATCGGTCTCTTCCCTTCTTCAATAAAAATCTTATGGGTGCAGAAGGTCGGACTAATTCCCTTAAGGTCCTCAAGCTTTCGAGCGATAACATGCCCATAAAGCTTAAGCAAATCTATTAACTTACCTTTCTGCTCCTCGGTTAGTTCAAATGCAATAATGACTGGGCATTTTTCTTCTTCATCTAAGAATGCATACTTCAAGTGGGAGGGTAAGGGTTTTAGTTCAGGAGTAGGCTCAGGTTTATTCTCTTCTTCTTCATCATCTTCTTCAGCCTGAACACCCAAAACTTGCTCTGCATTCTCTTCTTCCTGTAAAACCTTATCACACAACTCCATCAACTCAACATATTTCTCTTCTGCTGAATTGGCCATGCTTATAATACCTTCGTCACGTGGGCCATCTTCAACAGAAGAGGTGCCAAACCAGAAGTCATCTAAAGCATCAATAGCATTTACAAGATTGCAAGAAACATGTTCTTGGTTTGCTATCTCTGGGAGTCGAAAAGTGCAAACATCATCTCCAACTCTCAGAGTTAGCGAACCATCTCTCACATCAATTAAAGCCTTACCGGTAGCTAAGAAAGGTCGTCCTAAGATAAGTGGAGTTCCCTTATCCTCCATGTCCAAAACGACAAAATCAACAGGAAAAATAAATTTACCTACCTGTACTAATACATCCTCTACAATACCTAAAGGATAAGTAACAGAACTATCAGCAAGTTGAATACACATCCTAGTAGGCAAGAGTTCTTTTATGCTTAGCTTTTGAGCAACATAAGATGGCATCAGATTAATGCTCGCTCCTAAATCGGCTAAGGCATTATTAAAAGCAACATTATCTATGGAACAAGGAATGGTAAAACTGCCTGGGTCTTTTTGTTTCTTTGGCAAATTCTTTGTGATAACTGCCGAACATTCAGCACTCAAATTGGCAACTACAGGATCAAATCGAGGCTTTTTATTTGCTAACAACTCCTTAAGGAATTTCGCATACTTAGGCATTTCTGCCAAAGCATCCATTAGAGGTAAATTAATGTGAAGTTGTTTTAGCATATCTAAAAACTTAGTATAAGTTAGGTGATCATCTACCCTTTTTAACCTAGTGGGAAAAGGAAGTTTAGTTTTAGGGATAGGTAAATCACCTAAATTATCAGGTTCAGCCTCATCCTTTTTATTACCATCCTCCCCAATCTCTTTATTAATATCTACATTAAGTGGAGTGGGTGTTGGTGGTGTAGGATTGACTAAAACTTTCTCACCTTCAACTAACTTCTTTCCACTTCTTAAGGTTACAGCTTGAACATGCTCACGTGGATTTGATTCAGTTGTACTAGGTAAATTTCCTGGTGAGCGGTGGGTGAGAGTGTTACCTAACTGACTCATGTACTGCTTAACATCATGTAACTCTCTTTGAAATTCAGATCTCAATTCAGTTTTAATGCTAGGCAGTTCAGATTTTAAGTCAGATATAGTTTTAGTCAAATCCCCTAACATTTTTTCTAAGGAAGAATTGTTCTCATTTGATCTAGCATGTGGTGGAACATAAGTCTGAGAATTACTTCCTTGATTTCTCCAATTACCTCCATTATTATTCCTATTATTATTTGGGCCATCATTTCTCCAATTATTACTAAAGTTTCTTTGATTATTAAAATTATTATTTCGATTACTTTGGTATTGATTATTCTGATTAGCCCATGGTCCTTCATTCTTGCGAGCATATTCCATAAGATTAACATCATGAGAATTAAAATCATCATAAGGACAAGCAGATGTTAAGTGAGAACCCATGCAATTTTCACAAGAAAGGACCAATTCAGAAGATTGTGAATGAGGGGCATAATAATTGTAAGAGACAGAATTTACACTACCCCTAAGTGGTGGAACTTGATTCTTCCCCAGGTTTTTAATTTTAACGGTCAATGCTTCAATCTGTGCTCTAAGCGCAGTTGCTTCATCAACCTCAATTCTTCCTTGAGAAGAAGAAACTGGGGCACGATCACCATACCAATAACGAGAATTTGAAGTCACTTTATTGATCAATGCCTCATTTTCTTCTGGCGTCATTTCAAGGAAAGAACCACCAGGAGAAGAATAATCAAGTTCCTTTTTACTATCAATGTTTAAGCCATTATAAAATTGAAACATTAAACTAAAAGAATCAATCAATGTGGGAGGACATTTAGTTCTTAATTCTTTAAAACGTTCCCATGCTTCATGAAGAGATTCTCCACTACCTTGACGAAACTGCTGAATTGACATACGAATTCTAGCAGCTGCCGAGGGTGGAAAATACTCATTCATGAAGGCCTTATGTAAATCATCCCAGTTAGAAAAATGACCCACCGGAAAATTATTTAACCACCATGCAGCTCTGTCTCAAAGGGAAAAAGGAAAAAGAGTGAGTCGTACGGTGTCTTTGTCTACCCCATTAATTTTAAAAGTAGAACATGTACAGGTAAACCAAAGAGTATGAGCCCTGGGGTCTTCATGTTTCATTCCACCAAATTGATTACTAGAAATTATTTGTATGATGGCAGGTTTTATTTCAAAAGATGCGGTTGTAATGGCTGGAGTGCCAATACAATCATTTTCTTCAAAAATAGGAATCATAGTATCTAGAACAGTGTGTCTAACTCTATTCTCCTCCCCCATTTCTTGGTTATTTAAATTATTTTGAAAAAGATTTTGATTTCTTTGAAAATTTATATTACGATTAGATCTAAAAAGCCTTTCAGGATCTTCACAAAATTGTAAAACTTCTCCAGCACTAGAAGAACGGGTGTGCATAAAAAAGGAAATAATTGAAATTTAATTTTATTTTTATTATTATTTTTTTATTAACAACTAATTAACAAACGACAACCGTGCCAATCCCCGGCAACGGCGCCAATTGACGAAGCTTGGTATAGCGGCAAGTCAATAAAATTAACCGAGACTAACTCGGGTCGTTTCACAAGGATTGGCAAAAGGAAGTATTTGTTAAATATCTTAATATTTTACTTCAAACAATTAATTTAGAGCAATCAAGTTCAAAGCAATAGCAGTAATATGATTAATCCAAACAATAATTTAGAAACAGGTATGAATCGAACAAGTATATGAGCTAAGATAATAATTTTAGATTAAATTAACTTCTTAATTAATTTGATTTTATATCATTAACTTATCCATTTTTCAGGCCTCATTAATGTGTCTAAATATGGTTGGCTAGATTATTTTTCTTAACTCATAGACAAGCTAGATAAATAATCTCCAAAGATTAATTAATAAATTAGCCAGATCTATTAATTAGTGAATCTCATTTTGACAATTGAATCAAATTAATCAAGTTACTAACTTAATTTTAACTATTAATCATTAGCCCATACCCTTAATTCAATTCATACCTAAGTATAAATTTAGCCATTAAAAGCCATTAGTTCACAAATCAAACTAAGTATAAAAGATAATTTTAATAAAAGAAAAGTTTACAAGAAAGCTTACAAATCTTGAAGAACTGAATACAAAGCTCACAAATCTTCAAATCAACACTCTAAGCTTTTCTAGAAGGACTCTCAAACTCAAATAAGGTGAAAAGTGGAATTTTTGGAGTGATAGGGAAGGGAATGGCCGAGTAGGGTATTTATACCCGAGCACACCGCACAAGCGGGCAGACAGGCGGCCGCCTGTCAGCCCACCACTACCAAGAAGGGAAGCTTCTGGATCGCCGATACTTCGAGAACTACGACAGGCGGGCACGCAGGTGGGCGCCTGCTAGCCCGCCGGAGCCCATTTTCCCCGCCTGCGCGTGTGTTCGCCGCCGGAGCCAACTCTCGCCGTTTGCTGATGCTTGGCAGGCGGTCTGGTAGGCGGCCGCCTGCCTGGTGGCCTGTCGACACTCGGCTTCTTATCACTTGTTTTGCTTCAATTTTGAGTCTGAACACTTTTCTCTCTTTCTCCAACTTCCAATTCCATTCCAGAATGAAAATATTACTAATTTCTTGTTGAAATCAAACAATTTTTATTTTTCTTGGCCCATTCAATTTTACTACTAAAAAATATAGATATATGACTTTTAATCGAAAAATTATTTCTTATTAAGATGAAAACTTATAAAAAAATATGTTAAATGCGAGGATAAAATTATATATAAAACGACTTTATCAATCTCCTCACACTTAAACTTTGCTTGCCCTCAAGCAAAACAACTCAAGTAAGAAAAGGAATGACATGATTCGCTGTCAAACTCGTAACTCTTGGGGACAACACCAAGTTAATAATCATATATCATTCTCTTACTTTTACCAATTCCTTGACTTATTTTCTTTCTATATATATATATATATATATATATATATATATATATATATATATATATATAATTAGTACATACATCTATATGAAAAAATTTAATTATGTTAAAACTATAGAAATCACTCTAAATAGGACTAAAACATAGAAAGAAATACCAAAATAAGAGTTCCATGTTTTTATTTCCGAAATAGGACTTGACACTGTTATAATGTAGTTGTAATGTGGCACTGTATATATGCACATTACTATACTTTTTGATAATGTACATGACCATATTTGATAATGTAAATACGTTTTAACTTCTATTTCGAGAATAAAATCATGGAACTTCTATTTTGGTATATTTTCAATATTTTAATTCTATTTTAATGTTTTCCCCTTGAAACTATTCAATTATTCTAACATTCCATCAGGATCCGTTTGGTATACGGATTTGGTGGAATTGGAATTGGGATTCTATGTGATTCAATTTTATAGAATTGAATTCACCAATTTCAATTCATTTTATGCACTATCAATTCAAATCGACATAATATATATGTTACCAAACACCAAAATTAAAATTTAATTCTTCAATTCTAATTTCATAATTTGAATTTCTTGTACCAAAGATGGTCTCCAATGAGTGTTTTAAGCTATTCGATCATTGGTAGGGTTGTGAAAACTATACTTTTTGTTTTGACGGTGCCTTCAGAATTTTTTATACGACTGTCGAGTATACAATTTCAAGTTTCAACTTTGAATACGAATGAAAAAAAGATTGTTTTTGAAATAAACTTTTTGTGATTTCACGTTTCTTGATTTTCACTGTTGAAAAGCCCTAGCTAACTTACGAATCCGAATCTCGTATTGCTCTATCGATCGGAGCTTTCTTTGATTCAACCCGATGGTTTACTGGATTGAGGTTCCAGAATCCGGATGGCTGGTTCTCGGAACCATAGGTTCCTTTTCGTGTTCTGTTTTATGAAGAATTGATTTTTCGAGGAAGCTAGGGTTTGTTTTTCAGTACACTGTGTTTGGTTTTTCTGGTTTTCATGTATGGATTCGGGTATTACTGATTTGAACTCAAGTGAATGGCTCAGGCGGGATGGTGCTATTAAAGTCTATACTAGAAAGGGCAAAAGGAAAGCTGCTGTTTTGACTGCCGTCGATGATCAACCACAGACCTTTAAATCCGGAGACAATGGCCAGACGAAGGGAAGTGTTGATGTTCATGAACCAAGTAGGCGAACCTTAGAGCCAGAGGGAAAAGAACTACCAAAGCAACCCGAAGAACACCCCAATGATTTGCTTCAGGTGCGAGCGGTTCCTGAACCACAAAGTCTTACTGGTGATGGTCCCTCAGGTGATGAACATTTGGTTGTTGGGGAAGGACAGGGTGGCGGAAATGGGCCGGTTAACCGCACCGGCGAGCAAGATGAAGTTATCAGACCCCACCCTGTGCTACAAGATGATAATCACATAGGTGAATTACCATCTGCGAATTGTGTGGAGACCAAGGTTGTTAAGCCAGTAATTTGTAGGGTCAAAGATATGGTTAGGATTAATTTTTCAGGAGCAAGGTCAGTTAATGAGATTAGGGATCTTGTAAAGAAAGTAGAGAGTGAGCTCAATCAGGTGAGGTACATAGTAAGGAAACTGGAAACAACCGAGCTTCAGCTAGCTTTGCATGGTAATAGTGTTGATGTTAGTAATGGAGGCACTATTAGTGCTGTTGCTTGTGATTTTGGTGATCCTGGGCATCCACAGTTTTCCCCGAGTTGGGAAATAAAAAATAGAGCTTTAATGAGGGGGAATTCAGAGGTATGTTCAATGGGGCATCAAGATTTTAGACGGTGTAGGACCCCAAGTATTTCAGTCTCAGAAATCAATATTGGGGATGATGAACTTGTAGAGAAGGAAAAGAGGACACCAAAGGCTAATCAGTATTATACAAATACAGAGTTCCTAACTGGAAAGGATTTCTTGCCTCCCGAAAGCAATAAAAGTCTGAAGCCTAATGGTGCTGGGAAGAAGCATGGTGGACGTGGTTTCAGTTTCAGTGATGGCTCTTATTGGCATAAGAATAGCAAGGTCTTCAGGAATTGCAGCTCACTGCTTCAGAAGTTGATGAATCACACTTATGGATGGGTGTTTAATACTCCAGTGAATGCTAATGCTCTTGGCCTACATGATTATCATGATATTATTAAACATCCCATGGATTTTGGAACAATTAAGACTAGGCTCTCGCGTAATATGTACAAATCTCCAATGGAGTTTGCACATGATGTGAGACTCGTGTTCCGTAATGCTATGACATATAACCCAAAAGGCCAGGATGTTCACATTATGGCAGAACAGATGTCCAAGATTTTTGAAGAAAAGTGGGTGTTTATAGAGACTGAATATAATC